GTGTCATTGACTGTAAACGTTAACGCACTCATGACCCCACACAGCTGCAGCTCAGACATAGTCACAAGTCAAAGGTCGCAGGTCAGCTGCAAATAGACAGCAATAATAAAAAAAAAACATCTTTACCCAAGATTATAAAGAAGAATAAGAAGGAAAATATGAAGAAGAAGAAGAAGAAGAGGAGGAAGAGGAGGAGGAGGAGGAGGAGGAAGAAGAAGAAGAAGAAGAAGAAGAAGAAGAAGAAGAAAAAGAAGAAGAAGAAGAAGAAGAAGAAGAAGAAGAAGAAGAAGAAGAAGAAGAAGAAGAAGAAGAAGAAGAAGAAGAAGAAGAATGAGAAAAAAGAGGATTTAGAAGAAGAAGAGGAAGAAGACAAAGAAAAAAGAAAGAGGAAGAGGAGCCGAAGAAGAAGAAGAAGAAGAAGAAGAAGAAGAAGAAGAAGAAGAAGAAGAAGAAGAAGAAGAAGAAGAAGAAGAAAGAAGAAGAAGAAGAAGAAGAAGAAGCAGAAGAAGAGGGATTAGGAGATGGAGAAAAAGTAAGACTAATGATAACTCACCTCTAGTCTCATCTGCAGTGCCATCTCTTTCATCTTGCTGGCCAAGCCTAGCTTCTGCAGCTTGTTCTGTTTCAGCTGTTGCTCCCTGTCCTCCTTCCTCGGCAGTAGCTCTTGCTTCCTGTTCAGAAATGCCAGATGGTCGCATACCTTCGGGTGAATCGTGTCCGTCTGATCCAAAATAGATGGGTTTAATGAAATTTAGATATTTCAATGTCTCTGTCTGTCTGTCTGTCTGTCTGTCTGTCTGTCTGTCTGTCTGTCTGTCTGTCTGTCTGTCTGTCTGTCTGTCTGTCTGTCTGTCTGTCTGTCTGTCTGTCTGTCTGTCTGTCTGTCTGTCTGTCTGTCTGTCTTTCCTTCTTTATTTATTTTTCTCCTGTCTGTCTATCTGTGTGTCGGTCACGCTGTAGATTGATCGGTCGTCCGGTCGGCCGGTCGGTCCGTCCATCCATCCATCCATCCATCCATCCATCCATCCATCCATCCATCCATCCATCCATCCATCCATCCATCCATCCATCCATCCATCCATCCATCCATCCATCCATCCATCCATCCATCCATCCATCCATCCATCCATCCATCCGCCCGTCTGCCTGTCTGTCTATCTTTCTGTCAACTTGTCTGTCTGTCTGTCTGTCTATCTGTCGGTCTGTTTGTCGGTCTGTCTATCTGCCTACACTTACCCGCATGTGTTGAAGAGAACAGTACTGTGACACCTCGCAGTGCGTGCAAAGATAATTTGCCGTCTCCGTACACACCAAACACTTGTGGCTGTCGGCTCCATCCCTGGCTTGTTGGGGGTCAATTCTCTACATATAGAGTTGATACCATAGTGTCAACACGGGAACAGGCGAGCTCAGGAGAAAACAATGCTTTGGAAACGTGAACTACGATGGGTTGGGGGGAGAAGCTTGGGTGGTCATAGGGGAGCAGAGACATGTCTCGACTTAGAGAGATGTATGACAACCGATCAATGTGACTTGACGTCAGCCGTTTGTAGTGATGACAGGAGGCTGTAAAACACAACGACAAGCACCATGCGCCAAAGTCTAGAAGCAGAAGAAGAAGAAGAAGAAGAAGAAGAAGAAGAAGAAGAAGAAGAAGAAAAAGAAGAAGAAGAAGAAGAAGAAGAAGAAGAAGAAGAAGAAGAAGAAGAAGAAGAAGAAGAAGAAGAAGAAGAAGAAGAAGATGAAGAAGAAGAAGAAGAAGAAGAAAAAGAAGAAGAAGAAGAAGAAGAAGTTAGGTTAACGTAAATCTCCTCAAACAGAGTAGGTCTCTTTTCATTCACAAGTTTGTTGGGCTGGTCAAATTTCCTGAAGGTTCAGGAAGTCCCGCTCTATTGTTCGCTTTCTATGTTGTCTTGCATTTACGTTTTCATTCCGAGAAAGAGAATGCTTGTGACAAATTTTGCAGCACTCTCTAGTGGGGTTGTGTTAGAGCCAGTTTCTCCATGCTTTTGGAGCGTTTAAAGCGTTAGCGTGCTGAAATATATAACACGCGATATCAGCGGCATTGCGGAACCCCCCCCCCCCCCCCGTAACCATGTGCCAAGGTGACAGGTTCAGGAACTACCAATCAAAAGTGAGCTGGTGTGTGTATCGGCGGGGCGTGCGGAGATTACCGTTAGGTGTACCCCCCCCCCCCCCCCCCCCCAAAAAAAAAAAAATCTGAATACAAATAGTAATAACAAGAAAAATATAGTAATGATAACATACATCAGATGAGGCAATCTACATTCTTTTGGTTTGTCATGAGGAGAAAACGGGAGCACATCATGGCGGTGAGAGAAAGTTGGAGGGGAAGAAAGGCAGAGGGAGACCAAGATACAAGCTGCTGGACAGTTTGACATCATGGCATGGAAGATCATTTGTGTCGGAATTTACTGAAAGAACACTGGACAGAAGTTTGTGAATGGACATGACTAGCAGCGCCACATCGCGTGGACCA